CCTAGAATTCCTGAGCCAGCCATACTGAGGGAAAAGGGAGAGGTTTCCAAGCTGAGCCATGCTCAGGAATTCTGGGAATTGAAGTCCACGAGTCATAAAAGAGCCAAGGTTGACTACCCCTGTTCTAGAGCAAGGTCCCCAACCTTCCCTGCTCTGTGGACCAGCGGCGGCGAGGTAGGGAGAGGGGATTGGTTTCGCGTGTGCACACGCCACTTGCACCAAGGCAGCTTCGCACGGGCACACTCGCCTGCCACTTGCGGGCCCAGTTCCCAACAGGCCATGGCCTGGCACCGGGCTGCAGACTTGGGGCGCCTATTCTAGGGTCATCTTTTCCTAGAGAACGAAAGGCTGCTTTATTCTCCTCCAAAAACTGCCAGATTAAAACTTTTTCTTTTAAAAAAAATAGAAGTATTATAAATACAAGTAACCATACTTTTAAAAAAAAGTCCCCTCCTTCTTCGTGCAGTCGCTTAGGATTTGAGTGTTGCCAATGAGTCGTTCTGCTTTCATTGGTAGTTTTGCCATCTTCAAGTATATAAAAAGTTCAGTAACTTATTCTGCAACACAATTTGGAATTTATACAAAGATCCTAGCTTTGCACGAAGCTGACCATTTTCTACTTGTTGCAGGAATTTCAGCTCCCCCCCAGCTTCCCCTACTCCCATTAAAAATCACACTTCTGGCAAAAGGTAGCAAACTGAGAGTCTCAGGATATACCAAGATGCCTTATTTGCTTTACCACAAAGGAGATTGGAAAAACGGATCAGAAAAGCATAGCTGCCAAAATCAGATGTGCAAATATGGACATTTTGTATACGCCGTTTCCTCTATGGCGGAGGGCAAAGCAAACGAAACAGCGCCCGATGACCCAAAACTTCCAGTGCCTGCTTTTTGTCTTGGAAAGCCTTGGCTTTCTGAATAAGTGCACAGAGGTAGCTCAGCAGCTCACTGACAATATATTTCCTGAATTCCAAAGAATAAAAAAAAAGAGAGAATGACCAGCTTCTTTGCACGGACAAACTCTAAAACCATCAGATTTTTCTCTGCCATTCTACTTCTGCGTTGAACGACATGAAAAAAGGTGATACAGAAACGCAGCAATAACAACCCTCTGCGCTCGCTCTCCTTGCTACAGACTGAGAAACAAGAATCTTGCAAGCATCCAGCTACCAAATGAAAATTTGACTTGGGTTCTCAATATATAAGAGGCTGCTTCCTGGAAAGATGCTAGGGGTGATTAGTTTCTACACGCTGTTTAGTTCGGGCCAATGAGGACACACACTCCCTTTATAAGGATGACAGAGAAAATTCTGAGGTTTGCAAGATTTCTACATAACTGAGCAAAATAAGGAGTTGGTACAACAAAACCAGTGGTTTGCCCTACTGCTTAAAAAGCCATGCACTACACTTGAGCTGGAATGAATTTTTTTTTTTAAAAAAAAGTGGGCTGCCTATAAAATCAATCTGGGTTAAAACGCCAAGTCACCATTTCACCAGGCACAGTAGCCAGACTCTTTTTTTCAGATTTCAAGCTTGTCCCACCATGTTTTGAGGCTCTTTGGGTTGCAATTTGGATGCTGGGAGTTCCAAGCCTGCCCATAACATGGGCTCAGCTTTCCTCATGGTGAGCTCAATCTTTGTAGCGGTCATATTTACGTAGCTTCTTTTCACATCAATCACCTGGAAGAGGAAAATAGAGGATTCAGCTCAAGCAGTAAACTGGGTGGCTTATGGACCCCCTTAAATGCGATACATTCAGTGGGCAATTATAGTATCAGTACATGATAGTCCTTATTATTAATAATAATAAAGTTGGAAGGGACCTTGGAGGTCATTAAGTCCAACCCCCTGCTCAGGCAGGAAACCCTATACCATTTCAGACAAATGGCTGTCCAGTTTCTTCTTAAAAACTTCCAGTGTTGGAACATTCACCGCTTCTGGAGGCAGGTAGTTCCACTGGTTAATTGTTCTAACTGTCAGGAAAGTTTCTCCTTAGTTCTAGGTTGCTTCTCTCCTTGATTAGTTTTCATCTGTTGCTTCTTGTCCTGCCTTCAGGCGCTTTGCATTGTAAAGTGGTATTAACACTTCACGTGATCTTGATTCTATCCCTCTGTTAATGCAGCCTAGCACTGTGTTGGCCTTTTTGGCAGCTGCAGCACACGGCTGGCTCATATTTAGGTGATTGTCCACTAGGACTCCGAGATCCCTCTCACAGTTACTACTATTGAGCAAGGTACCCCCTATACCAGTGGTTCTCAACCTTTTTAATGCCGCGACCCCCAACCAGTCGTAAGTCGAGGACTAAACCGATCGTAAGTTGAGGACTAAACCGATCGTAAGTCGAGGACTAAACCGGTCGTAAGTCGAGGACTACCCAACCGGTCGTACGTCGAGGACTTTCCCTGCCCAGGAGCGCCGCGCATGCGTGGTTCCGCCCCCTGTGCCGGCCGAGGCGTAGCTGGCAAGCGGCAGAGACGGAGCAGGCCGACCACCAGCTGGCCCAGTTCAAGGGAGGTAAGGCACCCGCCGGGAAAGGGGAAAAAAATGGCGGACAGCCTTGCTTGGCGACCCCCGTGAAATGGTCGATCGACCCCAAATGGGGTCGCAACCCATAGGTTGAGAACCACTGCCCTATACTATACCTGTGCATTTGGTTTTTCTTGCCTAAATGTAGAACCTTACTTTTTTCACCCTTGAATTTCATTTTGTTAGCTAGCTATAACTTCAGAAAGAAGCTTCTTAGTTCAAGTTCCTCAAATCTGGGGGGGGGGGGGGGAATCCAGCTTGTACACATGACTCAATATTACCTTTGAAATAATTGTGCATAAAATGAACACAGGCAGTCCTCGACTTACAGCCTAGTGACCGAAGCTACAATGGCACTGAAAAAAGTGACTTAGGACCATTTTTTCCACACTTATGACCACTGCAGCATCCCCATGGTCACGTGATCAAAATCCAGACTCTTGGCAACTGACTCCTATTTATGACGGTTACAGAGTCCTGGGGTCACATGATCACCTTTTGCGGCCTTCAGACAAGGAAAAGCCAATGGGGGAAGCCAGATTCACTTAACAACGGTGTTACTAACGTAAACAACTGCAGTGATTCACTGAACAACTGTGGCAAGGCCGTAAAATGCAGCAAAATTAACTTAACAACGGTTTCACTTAGCAACAGAAATGTTGGGCTCAATTGTGGTCATAAGCCGAGGACTATCTGTTCTTGGCAAATGAATAGGGTAATTGGAAATTTTGCTCCCAAAATATAAAAACAGGAGACTGGTAACAGCAGTTTTGAATGCTTATCTATATTTCTGAGATCAATAAGCAGTTATACAATCTACCCTAAATGTCACCGTTTTATATCAAGAGAGTCAAAGGACACCGTGCTAGGTTTTTAACTCATTTTCTAACAGGTTGTGCTTGTGAGGAATGAAAAACCGATTCACCGGTGCCATACGGAATTTTTCAAATCACCCTTTTAATAATGACTTACGTGCATAGAATCCATTCATCAACCAACTACCACAACAGTCAACCAGACTTTGGCATTTGCATATTTCTTAAAACACAATCACACCCCGTTAGGAAAGTCCGACAACAGAATCCATAAAAAAGGCTTCAAGAGAAACTTGAAAATTTGTAGCAGAATTATGTACTTACACCCCATAAATTCAGATTCTGACTGAACACCTTATCGCCTTCAAACACAATGTGGATATTTACCTGCAAAAGAAAGGAAGGTTTATGCAATAAAACAGAAATGCATGTTTACTCACATTTATCCAACCAGGTCTATTATTACTACTTGGAAATAACCCTTCCCTTTAAATATATGACAGCAGTGTTTCTCAGCCTTGACCAGTTTCTCAGCCTTTTCCCAGAATTTCCCAGCCAGTTGAAGTCCACCCATCTTCAACTGGCCAAGGTTGAGAAACACTGTATGAAAGAAAAACAGAATTTTCAATTCTTCAACCACTCTTTACAAAACTTCATTTCTAGATTATCCTGCTGCCATTCTCTGAACTTGCTCCCATTTCTCTGAGTCCTTCTTAAAGCATGGTGCCCCAAACTTGATACCACCTCAGATAATCAAATAAAACATAGTGAAACAGAATGATTAATCCCACAGTTGGGAAATTGTGTATCGACTGATGCCTTGTAAAATTGCATCTGTCTTTTTCGCACCACTGGCTCATATCCAATTTGCCAATCGCCCCGATCTCTTTTTCACAACTGCCATCATTAATCCAGTATTTGCCACCTTGTTCCCATGTGCTAAATTTCTAAGTCAAGAATGCTGTATTTGCTTCTATTATATTACATTGCTATTTTCAGCCCATCCCTCTAACTTGATTTTTTTTTGTCCTCTGAATATTAATTATGCTACCCGATGTTATGCCCTCTACAAATTTGATAAGAGATCCCTCTATGTTCTCATCCAATGAAAATGTTAAAAATTACAAGCTCCAGTTCTGGACTATGTGTCAACTCACTTAAGACCTGTCTACAATTTGATGAAGAGCTGCTGGTGATTACTCTTTGAGCCAATTGTGCATCCATTATATTATTATGTCCTCCATCCAACAGGTAATTAGCTTTTAAATCAGCCTCAAATAAAAAAAACTATAAAGAACTAAGACCACCTCTATATGTTTATCTCTGTGTGCATATACTTTATTGTAACTAATTTAATAGACATAGTTTATTGTCAGGTTGCTCTATGGAAGATGTCTCACACAACCCCTGCATTCTAATGCAGTATGATCTCCTGAAATCTGTAACTGTTTTTTGATGGTAAAACCTAACTCATTAAAATGGTAATAACAACATCATTGGATGACCTGAAGTACCAGGTTAGGGGCAATTCATCATGGGGAAACTCTATCTATGTACACTGAGAGTCAATACTGATTTCATAGTATGTAATCATACTATGTAATCATTCTATGGTGCTGGAGAAGACTCCTGCGAGTCCCCTGGACTACAAGGTGATCAAACTGGTCAGTCCTAGAGGAGATCAACCCTGACCGCTCTTTAGAAGGACAGATCCTGAAGTTGAAACTCAAGTACTTTGGCCACCTAATGAGAAGGAAGGACTCACTGGAGAAGAGCCTAATGCTGGGAAAGATTGAGGGCAATAGAAGAAGGGGACGACAGAGAATGAGGTGGCTGGATGGAGTCACTGAAGCAGTAGGCGTGAGCTTAAATGGACTCCAGAAGATGGTAGAGGACAGGAAGGCCT